CTAATCAAATATTTTTCAAAAGTCATATAAAATTTAGAAATATCATATTATTTGTTGATTATATCAAATTTAGTCCTCAAATTTTTTATTACTATATATATATTATTTTAAATATTTATTTTTCAATTTCATTTTTTAGAATTTAATTTTTATATTAACTTTGGTCATAAATTTTATTTTGCTTTTTCTCTTATTTTTTTTAATTGAAAGTTTTTATCTATCAAATTTAATTCACACTCTTTTGAATGTTATTTATATTATTTGAAATAATTTATAAAATATTAATTGATATTATTTTAATTTTTTTTATTATTTAGAGTTGATATCTGTTATTTTTATTATTATTTATTTCATTTAAGATAATTTATGAAATTATTTTTATTTACAATTTCATTTTCATTCAACCTTTTACCTTTTAATTTGTAAGATTGTTCATTATTATTTTAATAAACTTGAAAAAATAAAATATTAACAAGTTATTTTTCAGCTTATTTTTCATGAAATAAATAAATACCGAAAATTATTTTTTAATTTATTTTTTATTACATTATCAAATATAAAAAACATAATTTATTTTTCTAAAAAAAATAAAAATAGCATAACAGGATAAAAGGGAAAGGAGACAATAATTTTACGTGGAAAACCCTCTCAAAATGAGGGGGAAAAACCACGGGAGAATCACAGAAAGACTATTATTAATTTAAATGCTAAGGTAACAACTTTGTTTTTTTTATAATGTACAGATAATATTCAAACTATTATAAAAACAATAAGTAAAGAAATAAAAAGAAGCAAAGTCAGAAACAATATAATTAATTAATTAATTAAAGGATAGATACACATCTCCTCCTCCTCCTCCTCCGATGGATTTGAGCGCTGTGATTATTTCTCTTCCCCATGTTGTCGGGCGCCTGCATGGCAACACAAAAAATGATTATATATGAAATTGATGGATCATACTTTTAATTCATCGAAGCTATTATTCTTTTATTAAATTAATTATACAATGCGTTCTTATTAGATGAAGATATTGTGTACTTCATGCATATATATATATATATATATATATATATATATATATATAAACAAACAAATAAATAAATAAAAGAGGAAGTTAGTTCCTAATTACGTACATAGAAGTTACGTGCAGCCATTTATCTATTGTCGTATTAAACCTCGCCAATAATTAGGAAACTCCTGCCAATTAAGAGGAGAAATTAAGTAGAAGATCAGCTTCCTAAAATTATACATAAATAAATAAATAGATACAAAAGAATGTCATGTCAGATTTAATAAATAGGATTAGCCCGTAGAAGGATAACACATTACCTCATCTAATCTGTGGTTATGAACGAATAATTCTGATGTTTGGGGAATGAGAGGCGTTGGGCCAGCCCTCTCCTCCCGCTTTGAATTGCGCTCCTATAATTGGGCTCTCATTGATTTCCAAGTGCTCTAGAGTTGTTGACTGGAGCACGTAATCCGGAAGTGCTTTCAATTTCGGGCACTTCCAAAATTCCAATAAATAAAGAGATGGCATTATGATTGAATTGAAGATGTTTGTTTTATCTTCATTTCCTCCTCGTCCTCCTTCCCACTCTTCCCACTCTCCCATACCCCCAAAGAGAAGACGTTTCAACTTGGGGAACGCAATAATAGCACTTGACGATGATGATGATGTCTTTTCTCCAATACTAATGTCACCATCCTCCCCATCAACTCCCAATCCCAAGAATTCACGCCCCACCCTCTGCACGCGTTCCATCCTGTCTACGGATAAATCTTCAAGAGATGGCAACTTCCCCAAAGGAGGCAGATTCTTAATCTTCCCCCAATCCACGAGTCTGACAACCCTTAGTTTATTAATCCAACAAGGAAACACTGGGATGACTCCTTGGTAATCATATATCCCCAATGATTCTAAGTTTGGAGGGGTCATGCGTACTAAGGCTTCAAGGACTTCATCATCGTTAATTTTCTCCCTGTCTGTCCTCGATCCAAACCTTAAATCTAACTCAGTGAGGTGTTTCTTGCTCTTAAGTTCTGCTTTCTTAACCTCATCAGGATCTTTCACGTCTCCCAACCATCTTATCGTAAGAGATCCTTGAAGGTGGTTCAAGTTTCTCAAATCCCCAATATTAGACACTTCACCACTACCACTCACATGGAACTCATCTAATTCCTGAAGAGAACTTAACCCCTCAAATCCTCTCATCTTCACAAACCCAGAGTAACCAACACTGAGATGTCTTAATTTGACTAGTCTTCCTATGTTATCAGGCAGCCTTTCAAGTTTATTACAGAAAGAGACATTTAAAGTTAGCATGTTATACAATTCACACATCTCTTCAGGTAACTCCCTGATCTTATTACCAGACAAGTCAACATGCCTCAGGTGTATCAACTTTCCTATGTTTGATGGGACTTCTTCTATTCCACATCCTGACAACTTCAATGTTCTTAGACAACTCAAATTAGCGATTAAGTTAGGTAAGGCTGCATTCATCGATGAAGGATAACCATCAACAATCAGGCTGCGAAGCTTCTTGAAACTATGAATGGTCGCAGGTAAGGGGTCGGTATCATAATTTCTAAACACTACCATGGAGTGTCGGGCATCTCTAGAAAAAGAGTCTATCTTCGACTCTGCCGCATCATCGATATCCACACTAAAACATTCATTTTTTGTCAAACTCTGCGCAAAATCATGCACCATGTCATGCATCTTACATTCAATAATGCTGCCATCACCCTTGTCTTTCACAAAATCTTGAAAGAAAGAGCGAGCAGCTAAGGCTTCGAAGCACTCAAGACCCATTACTTCCATCTCTTTATTGTGTGTTTCCCGAAGGAAACCCTGTGCCATCCACTGTTTGATCAAAGCATCCCTCTCAAATGTGAAGTCTTTTGGAAAGACTGCACAATATGAGAAACACCGTCTCATATCAGAGGGCAGGTCATGGTAGCTCAACTGTAAAGGAGCCAAAAGATTGCTTTCAGCTTCTTTTATCTCCCACACATGGCTGTTCAAGACACTTTCCCACTCTGCTCTGCTTCTTTTAAAGCGCAAAAGACTTCCTAGACTCTTTGCAGCGAGAGGCAAGCCTTTACACTTGGCTGCGATTTGTCTACCAATATCTTCTAAATTTCCTCTCTCTCTACTGTTTTTATCAAAAAATGCAAGCTGACTGAACAGTGACCAGCATTCATCTGTAGAGAGAAGTTCTAGTTCTAAAATGTCAGTGCTTAAGGATCCCATGCAGTTTGCAACATTCCTATTACGTGTGGTCACCAAAATCCTACTTCCAGGCAAACCACACTTGAGGGAGTCTTTCAGTTGCTCCCACTTTCTGGAATTTTCATTCCACACATCATCTAGGACAAGCACGAATTTCTTTCCCCTAATCAATGATTGTATTTTTTCTAGTAAAGTCTGCAATTTGATTAGATTTTGGGTAGACTCCTTGAGATTTTCGAGGATTGCCTTGGCAATCGTTATCTCATCAAAAGGATCTGATACAGAAACCCATATTCTCTTCTTAAAATGGGTCTTCACATCATCATCATTATAAACTAGCTTAGCAAGGGTTGTCTTTCCTATCCCTCCCATCCCTACTAGAGAGATTGTACGGAGGGCTGGTCCTTGACTACTCTCAGTACTGAACAACATTTTCATGACCCTGTCTTTATCATTTTCTCTACCCTTAACGTCTTTTACATCTATAACAGAAGCGGTTTCATGATGTTCATGCTGTTTAATTCCCGCTTCCAATGATTTGAAGTCGAACATATTTTTCACAATCACAATGACATCTATTCTTTCATTCAGTTCTTTTATCTTATAAGCAATACGACGACGCAAACCAACTTCTCTAACACGAAAGCAAGAGAAGATCATGAAAGAGCATACCTTCTTTTTATTCTTGCTGGGATGTTCATGTACCTTGCTTTGCGATTTTGCAATTGCAGTGCCCCACTCATCCAAAACATCATCCATGTCGTAAGATACTTCTTTGAGTTGATCTAACCAAAGTTTGACATACCCGTCCTCCAATTGTCTTTCCTCTGCATTGGCAAGCACAGCTTGGATGGCTCGGAAACTGCTGGTGAGCCTTTCAACCTCGTTCTTGACACCAACAACGAGCCTCACTTCTTGTCCCACCTCCTGAATAATGATTGACCTCAGCTGCTCCAAGACTACGGAAACAAGAGCTTCGGCCATATTATTCAGAACTAAGGAATGGTTGAGAGAGGATAAAATTGAAATAAAAGGATTATAAATTTGGAAATGTGCAATATAGGGAGAAATTGTTTGGTTGAGAAAAGAGGAGAAATAAAAAAAAGGGAGATTATGATTTGATGGTGCTTCATATGATCTATTACTTGATGTATATATAGTGCATTGGAAAAGGCCATGGAATCTTAATTTCAATGGCCATCCTTTGGCCTCATTTGGAGCCAATTCCTCTCTCTCTCTTGCCCGTATTAGATTCCAACCATTCTTCGCGTTTCACTTTTCTTCAAATGTTTTCACCAAAACAAAGCTTCAACCTTTAAATTGTTGCTCATAAAGTCGAGATCCAAGGGATTATTTAAGATTTTATGGAAAGTACGAATTTCAAATATTTTATGTTTATTTTTCTTAAATATTGTTTGAAGCAAAAAAAATTACTTGTTTTTAAAAAGTGCTTTTAAAACACAAATTTTTTAAAGCGTTGTTTTTTAAAAAATTATTTTTTGTATTCTAAATTAATTTTTTATTTTTATATTGATATTAAAAATATTTTTTAAAAAATAAAAAAATATTATTTTAATATATTTTTAAATAATAAAAAAATATTATTTTAATATATTTTTAAATAAAAAAATATTTTAAAAAACATGTGCTTATTCAAACATTTAAAATAAAAATCTTAAAATCATAGCATGATAAAAAAAGAAAGAAAAAGAATAAAGAAAACCCCTAAAATCACGGCATGATCAAAGGAGAAAGAAAAGGATAGGACAAAGAAGGAAGAAAGTAGGGGCCAGTCGCCAGCATTGAAGAAAAGCTAAAAGAATCATGTTTATGACAAAGGACCGGGTAATCCAAGTAACCAATAGATTATCGCCACATGTTCACCCTTAGATTTTATTGTGACATGGAGATAAGAGTAATCTCAAAAGCTAATAGATAGTTGCCATGTGTTCAACTCTATCTATCCCTAGGACAGGATAAAAAGTGGGAGAGAGAAAGGTTGTCCTTTTTTTGACCTTATGTAGTCTTTCTTCAATTATTTTTAATTTTTTTTAAAGGAAAGGACGTGGAAAGAAAGTAGTAAGGTGACGTAGGGGGCTAGTATTGTAGCAATTGTCATTGCAATACTGTTAAGGGGTTATTGGATCGTCTAATTCAGGCAAATTTAAGTGGTATCCATCGATAATTTGAGAAAGCCGCCAAGATAAAATAAATAAGGGATTAGTTTTACAGTTGTTAACAAGTTATTCTTAAGATTCTCATTTATGCTACTTTGTCAGAAAAAAATGGAACCATGCAGACCTCGATTCCAAGTATTTTGTCATCATTCCCTAACTCAACTAAAATCTGCCTCGGCTTTGCCTCCGCGTCAGAATGACCTAAAAGGCCATGGAATCTTAATTTCAATGGCCATCCTTTGGCCTTATTTGGAGCCAATTCCTCACTCTCTTGCCCCTATTAGCTTCCAATCATTCTTCACGTTTCACTTTTCTTCAAATGTTTTCACCAAAACAAAACTTCAATCTTTAAATTATTGCTCAAAAAGTCAAGATCAAAGGATTATTTAATATTTTATGTTTATTTTTTTAAAATATTGTTTGAAGTAAAAAAATTATTTTTTTTCGAAAGTACTTGTAAAACACAAATTTTTTAAAGCATTGTTTTTTAAAAAAATATTTTAAAAAACATGTACTTATTCAAACATTTAAAATAAAAATCTTAAAATCATAGCATGATCAAAGGAGAAAGAAAAGGAATAAAAAGAAGAAAGAAAAAGAATAAAGAGAACCCCTAATAAAGAAAACCCCTAAAATCATGGCATGATCAAAGGAGAAAGAAGGAAGAAAGTAGGGGCCAGTCGCCAGTATTGAAGAAAAGCTAAAAGAACCATTTTTATGACAAATGACCGGGTAATCCAAGGAACCAATAGATTATCGCCACATGTTCACCCTTTGTGACACGGAGATAAGGGTAATCTCAAAAGCTAATAGATGGTCGCCACGTGTTCAACTCTATCTACCCCCTAGGAAAGGATAGAAAGTGGGAGAGAGAGAGGTTAAAAAAAAGAGAGAAGGAAAGACAGAAATAAAGGAAAGGATGTGGAAAGAAAGTAAGGTCACGTAGGAGGGCCAATATTGTAGCAAATAGGAGATGAAAATTAGTACGAAAAAGAGGATGATAGAGTCGTTGTCCATATCATAGTGGTTTTTATAATTATATTTAATTTATATAAATATTAAATTAATATATTCTTAGTATTTTCTATGATTTAAAACATATGTGTATAAAAAAATATTTTAATATATTTTTAAATAAAAAAATATTTTTAAAAGTATATGTCACAGTACCAAATTATATTATAAATTAAAAAAATGGGGTTTACAGGATTACAAGGATTAGTTTTACCACAGGATTTTTGGATATAACTCTCCATCCTCGTTCGATGCTTGAATGTGACATTTGTTAATTACTCCAATGATTAATAATATATTCATCATTAAAGTTAAGAGAATACACATGCTTGTCCAGAACAAGAATCTTGCACGCATTAACATTGCCCCAACTGGGTTTGCATATTTTTTTTCCCCTCCAAAAACGTTAATCCTCTGGAAAATCGAAATATTCTCGATGGTGAACACAAAATCCTGTCCACAGTAATCACTTATGGAGGCATTTTTTAATTTTTTTTTAAATGCCTCCATAAGTGATTACTGTGGGCAGGATTTTGTGTTCACCATTCATATAACTTGGTTATAAGAATTTTAAATGCAACACTTCTTTTTCATTCAAAGCTATGAACACAATAATTATTACTTTTAACAATAATAACATTAATCAATAAAGGTTATCGGTTACATATTGAAAGTCAAGATGGTCACATCAATAATTCTTAGAATTTATGTTAACATTTCTTTTGCAACAGTCCATCAGTATCTTTACTACTTTGATTTTTCACTTGATATGTATTCTTGATTAAAAAAATCTAAAAATTGAGATACTAGCCGTCAACATAGAATTTTCAATGCAACGGAGGCGCACAACAAAACTCAAATTAGAAAAAGAAGAGGAGAGAGATAAAATAATTCTTACACGCGTTAGTATTGCATGAAACAAGATTGATAATAATAGCATGACAACTTAACCTGTGCACCACCAATTATGAAGGCGTCTTGCTTGGTGGCATAAAGTACAAATAAAAATATTTGCTATGGGAAAAAAAATACAGATAAATTACTAGCATGGAATCAACATAAAATAAAATAAGAATATAAAAAAAAAAGTTAGATTTTTGTTAGTTAGTTACTCATAAAGGGAATGGAACCTTTTAAAAATTATAAGAAAGCCTCTTTGTATCTTTGAATACAAAGTTTACAGATTTAATGAGAGCTTCTGAATAAGCTTGGCAGAGGAGAAGACAGACTGTGGAGCATCATCACTAGCAACACAAATGGAAACGAGATTTCTTCAGCTGCTGTCACTAGTTTTTAACACCATGTGCATTACAAAAATAATACTCAGCCATGACCGACACAATGAAACGAGAAGGCTATGTGCAAGATACAAACACCTATTATGGTACACACTAAAATACATGCTATGGTGAAATTCGGCACCACGAACTGCATTTTGTGACAGAAGTATCAACATGAAGTCCAGAACCCACTCATAGAAGGAGAAACAGAAGGTTAAGCTTTGAGCTTTGCCTTGTGATTTCAATATGCTGTCACTGTTATCTCTCAAGAGCAAAATTCAAGTGAATAAACTCCTGTTTCATATGCAATCAATCAAACTGCAGGCAGGAACCTTCCTAACTCTAGCCTCCACCATTGTTTTCCTTGTATCGGCAGCAGCAACACCCCATCTATCCACCCCAGCATGAATGAAAGACTAAAAACGCATAAAGCAAATGTATCATAGTGTGCAAAGAAGCTAAAGCAGCTTGGAGGTTTATAAACCTGCTCCTATAACCTTATAAATGATGGCTGTAGATGTCTTACAATTTCCTGTCAACACGATTGTATTCAGTATAAATAATTTCTGTATTTTTGGGCTGAGTATAAAGTGGATAGCACAGTACATGTTGACAATGATAAGAGTCCTTGTCTTCAGTTAATCAGAGGTCTCGCTATGCTTAACTCTTCCTCGGGTGCGATTTCACTAAGAACAGAGAACTCGTCTGGGAGCGGAACATTTCTTCTAGTTGCAGTCCCGAGTGACACTTTGTTCAAGGTAACTGCAATTGCGAACCTGCTTTTAATATCACAAAAACCTGTGGATCCACCCATACCCGAGTGCCCAAATCCATAAAAAGAAAACAAGGCAGTTATGTTTTCCATGTCAAAAGCATAAAAACCAGTATAAAATAAATAAGGGATTAGTTTTACAGTTGTTAACAAGTTATTCTTCAGATTCTCATTTATGCTACTTTGTCAGAAAAAAATGCAACCATGCAGACCTCGATTCCAAGTATTTTGTCATCATTCCCTAACTCAACTAAAATCTGCCTCAGCTTTGCCTCCACATCAGAATGAACTGGTGTGTCATTGATCCACTGAGCATTTTCTGATGGCCCCTTAGCAATCTTCCTGGCAATTGAATTTCAAGTTCAAAAAGAGATGAACAATAAACGAAGACATTATACAAATTGGCACATTGCTCTAGATAGACTTTACTCTTGCAGAACAGATTCGGCAAATGGTCTCATGATATCATGATATACTATGTGAGCATCCAACGTGGTAGAAAGTCCTAAACCCACATCAAAGGAAAAGTAAAGAAATGCAAAAGTTTTCTCATTAACTGCTACCAGTGTAAAGAGTTTATTACTGACCTCTCAGAAGACCAATAACCCGTGAAAATATTACCATATCCCCAGGGAATGCTTCAATCTGAACCAACAATTGTTAATAAATATTGATGAAATTGCCAACAAACAGATCAAGAAAAATATTGATAGAAGTAGAACGATGTGGTAGAAGGACTTGCCGGATTAAATCATTTAACTTGCTCTGAGATTCATCCTGTCCTGTAGCACCTTCATGTTTCTTGCTCTTTGCTCTCCCAAAGATTTGGCATATTCCTTTACAGAAACACAGTAAAAGATTGGAATCCCTGGTATCAAAATAGAACTCTAAAAGCAGGCAGTGCATACTTACAGCAGCTTCACTTGCAGATGTTGACGTGCGGAAGAAGACACTGATAAAATCCATAGCCTGCTCAGGAAAGTCCAGGCGCAGCTTAAGTCCCATTTCAGAAAAGAAAGACAAAAGAGCAACATGGTCCCCATGCAAGAGAAAGCATAGTATTTACTTTATAATGAAAAATTAAACAAAAATAGAAAACAATATAAACAGATAGGAGTGATGACAAACCAAAAATATTGTGCTCTGTTGAATTGGCATATCTTATGCATAACAGTGGTGAAAGAATATGAAAATAATGGAGCATGCTCAGCTATTCTTGACCAGTAATTTGATTTTAATGACCAATGTGCACTTTTGAGTAAATCTCAGCAAAACATGGAGCAGCAACAATGGGTTAAGCATATGCTGTAATGGCAGAGACAGAGAGAAAGGGTAAACAGCATGCTAAACTAGGACACAGAAAACACTCCCATGCAAGAAAAAAATTATTGTATTGCTCAACACAATTAATCATCAGATCTGTTACACAGATGCTCTATGATTATGATGCATTATTGACAGTACACCGACAGGAAGACTTTCACAAACCTCAGCGGTAGCAAGAAACATTTTAGCTAGTGATTGTTTCATAGAGCTTGATATTTTCTTTGTCAGCCCAAAGTCAAGCAAAAATGGACGCTGTGGAGGTTCTTTGCTCACCAGAAAATTACCTGCACCACAACCAATATAAAAGCATTCAACAGAGTAAACTGGCTCTGATTTAGGGCGCAACTAGGGAGAATAGGATAGAAGAAAGGGTAGAGCAACGTGCATAAGAGAAATGGGAGAAAGAACATATGTTTTGATTTTCGATTTCGGACCCGTAATCAAATTTCATTCATTGAAATCGCTCCCTGAAAGCACATCGCAGGTGTTACATAAACATCAACGATGGTGTCATCAACATGCATGTGTTTTACTTGGGTATATGGTATAGACATTCACGATGGTGTCATAACTAAATAATTCATTTTCCTCCTCTCCACTCTGACCAGGCTTCAGAACGACATAAAAATGTTCATTTTTCTCCCACATGATTCTTTTTGTAAGAATGGTAGTTAACTGTCAGGGCTCAGAAATGTCAATGAAGATGCCTGCAATGAGCCCTTTAATATTTGTTCCAGACAGTGAGAAATGTTAATAAAATTCCTACAACAAGATATATTTTTAGGATTTCATCCTATTGCACCTGCACTCGAGCAAGCAACTTTGTTATGTCAAAAAGATGAGAGCAAAATGATACCTGAATAACCTCTGGAATCAAAACATCCACTTGATTGATGGGCTTGTTGCTATCATATTTGCTTGTGCAGCCAAGATTTTCAGACACGGTTCTGGTATTCTCTACAAATACAATAGACCAGCATCAGTAAGAGAGAAAGGTACACTGAACAGTGGAGAAACACAATGACGTACTTGATAAGAAAAACAGTAAGAGAATATAAATGGAGGAAGAGATTAAAGAATTTAAAATTCCTTGCATTGTCTCTGCACAGTGTTAATAACTAGATTGGTAATGTCCTACAATGAATTCAGTATAGTGAGTTGGAGTTTCACTTTCATGAACATGCTAGAAAATGGCTGAATACACAGTTGCCAACCATCACTTTCATCTCTACAACATCCGAGCTCACCACTGCAACATAGCGTCAATGCTAATGCTTCCATTAGCACTAACAGCACCATGCCAAAGTCTTCACATGAGTTGCCATCAAATCGCCACTACAACCATGCCACTGCCATTGCACTGCTACCAAAAGAGTACCACACTGCCTTGACCACTGTCATTAAAGTTACCCTCACATTGCCACCATCATTGCTGCTGCGGCCACCCTCATTGCACCATATCCATCAAGCCAAGCTGTTGCCTCCACATTCAAAGACT